TTTCTCCTGCTTCCTGCTTGTTCTCAGATCTATTTCCAGCTATACTTATTCCTGGTTGGGGAAGGGTAATAGGGGAGATCAGTGTTGTTGCTCAGACAAGTGGGTTTCATGGATTACATTTATTGCAGTGCAAATTATGGCACACGTACAAAGCAGGTGGAACTGTGATTACATGAAGCCTGTTTGAAGTTTGTGCTACAAGAATGTATTGTGGCTGAAAGGTTTAGCTTGAGATTCTACCAACATTTCTTAAGAACCGCCAGTGTGGTATTTATGACACCTGTATTGAAAACAAACAAACAAACAAACAAACAAAAAACCAAAAAACTAATGACCCTGTATGGAGATCCTTCTTTATACCAGAGTCTGTGGTTTAAGAAGCCAGTATTATATGGGATTTCTATCTTTTTCTCGAAAGCTATTAAATCTAACAAATTATGTATGTATGTATACATATTCAGAATACATATATAATTTTGTTGTATTTTCTCCTTTTCTTTTGTTTGTTTATTTGTTTGTTTATTTATTTGGTGGGGGTAATTAGGTTTTTTTTTTTTGATGGAAACACTGGGGATAGAACCCAGGACCTCGTGCATGCTAAGCATGCACTCTACCACTGAACTGTACCCTTCCCCCGAATATATTTTTGTTTTTATTTCTTTTCTTTTTTTTTATTACAGCACAATCTTGAGGTAGTGTTTGTAAAATGAGATAGAAATGGATTTGAATAGTTTTAATGAAGGGAGGACTTTGGAAACACGAAGATTATCTGTGTGTTTATTAGTTTATAGTATTTACTTCAGTGTTTTATTTTGAAGTGTTTTTTGTCTTAACGCTTTCTTCCTAATATTCCTTAAGTGATCCTAATTCTTTCTTAATGTTTGAAAATAATTATCAATTCTTTCAGGGAGGAGATTTAAGCTAACAACTAACTTATAAAAGCAATACGTAAGTAGAAATCCTTTTCTATTGCAGAAATTTAAAATGATTTAGAAGTACATGAGATAAAAACCAAGAGCTCCCCTTGTTCCTTCCCCAGGAAGGAGAAAAACCTATTTAGGTGTTTGTGTCTGTCCTTCCAGAGCTTTTTCTGTGCGTTTATCTACACACACAGAGCAAAGAATATGTAGTGTATTTTTTAAATAAAAATGTTTTTAATGTTTATGTGTGTGTGTATATTTTCATCCCTACATTATTATAATAACATTAATACTCATGGAGACTAGTGAGTTTTATTAAAATCAGATGAAAAACAATGATTATGTTATTTAAGAACTGATTTCCAAAATGGTACTTATAGGAATCAATTGATACCTTGTCAGTTGTAAGATTTTTTAGTGCAGCACTATTGCTCATTTTATCTTCTGCACGTAAGTGCTTAATAGAAATGTATTGGGTGAATGCAATACTTATTACATTGATGCGTAGGTGACATACACTGCTAAATCATAAATTGACCATATTTGTGAAAATCCCAATTATATTGTGTTAGATATTATTTTAATCAACTTTGTTTTCTATACCTTTTTTTTTGCAAGGGGATAATTAGGTTTATTTATTTATTTTTAGACGGGGTACTGGGGATTAAACCCAGGGCCTTGTGCATGCTAAGCATGCGCTATACCGCTTGAGCCATACCATCCCCCTCTTTTCTATACCATAACTTATACATATAAGCTGTATCTTTGGCCCATGTGTGTTTTTCCACATACATAATTTATAGTATGTTAGAAGTTGATGACTTACTCCTTCTGCTTTCCTCCTTTCTTAAATTTCTTTTGCCTCTTTAGATTCAGACTGTATCATGCGTCTGTTTGTATCTGTGTTCCCTCTGTCCCTTATCCCCCTTTATATTTTAAAATAAAATTTATCCTTATGTTAAGTTGGACTTTTCAAAACAGAAAAGCATTAATTTCTTGTTCTTATGGTGGAATAAGTCTTTGCTTTATTCTAAGAATTGTGATGGAAAGGTGAGCTAGAAATTCTTTCCAAGCCTTAGGGTAAACCATGAAGTATAAAACTATACAAATTCTTGGTCACTGGAAGGAATAAAAACTAGGAATGGGAATTGTTAAAAGAACAACGTATTAAACTTGATGCTAGGAAGTCGTTTTTTTTGTAAAAGGACATAGAAGTGGCTTTTGTAAAGATGAATGCATTACAGTATGTTAGCAAGCAGTCTTGATGTTTTATAGACAGTGGTGTTAGGAATTCTTGTGGTTTCTTATGGCTCAGTTTTCTATATAGATAGAAATAGGTAATAATAGTCTACATTCATAAAGTATATCTTTATAAGGTGTTTTTGTATGTGTTCCCTATTTAACCTTTACATAAACTCCATTTTACAGCTGAAACTGGAGATCTGAAAGTTTGTTATCAAGGTTGCAGAGTTTAAACTTGAACCTACATCTTCTGAGCTTGTAGGCGCCCTACTTTCTCCTAGCTATGACATGTTTACCTGTAACATGTAAACATGTAACACAACATTTTTATATTATGTGTAACATGATTACAGAAAATTTAATGGAGGCTTTTAGTTGGATTTTAAAAAAGGATATTCCCCGACAAGAAGCAAAAAATTCTAGAAAGGGTGAAGTTAAGTTGAAAGACTGAGACAGGTGTGTATGTTGCGGCAGCAGTTGTGCCACAAAAATGCTTTCCTACTGCGTATATATAGGCTGATGTGTTTTCACTTCCTTTGCTTTGAAGGTTTTGAGTGTAGGGTAGGAGGTAACTGCAGTTATGTTGTCAATTACTCTTATTGTCTTGGCTGTCCATTGTTTTTGTTCCTATAGGTGTTTTTCATATAATAACTTCACACCTTCAACTTATTTTTACTAGAACTATTTGATATCATACTTGAAAGCATATTCCAAAACTCCTTTTCTTGTATTACAAAACTAATATGCTCCTATTGCAGAAACTTAGAAACCCATTGCCACTTAAAAATAATGGCTTTTAATAATTTGCACTGTTAGCTTTCAGTCTGTTCTCTGAATGTGTGTCTATTAATTAAAAATTTTTAAAAATTATGATATATAGAGGGCCAGGAAGTATATATGAGCAATCTCTGTGCCTTCTGTTTAATTTTGCTGTGAACCTAGAATTGTTCTAAAAAAATCTGTATATAATCTATAAATAAATGTATTTATAAATAAAGTATAAAATTGGGTCCTACAACACTTTTAGGTTAATAAGATTAATAAGAATAATTGGGAAAAGAAATGTGGAGACATTTCAGATGACTGTTTTCTTCAGTTGTGGCTTTAAATGATATATAAATCATTTTAAAATGTGTGGTTACTTAGAGAAAAATAACTTATGTGTCTAAGCTCCAGCTATTTGGACTAACATTTTCTGGCCATTTATGCCATTTCAAGGACTTTAAAAGATCAAAAAGAACTTTGAGAATAATCTGAAGTGTAAGAACAGCTTCATGTATTCTAGAATTTTAAAGTAAGTTATACATGAACAGATGAGGACCTTATCTATCTTACTCACCTCTGTATTCTTAGCCTTTTTCTTGTACTGAGCAATGCATAGTTATGTCAGTGAATCCCTATTTTGGTTTGCTTGTCCATCACTTTTGCTCTCATTTGCTCTAGAGTATTATCACTTTGAAAAAAGTATTTTGTCTGATAGGTGAAAATATTTTATTTGAATTTGTATTTTTTAAATTAATAACTAAGTTTTAAAAATGCCTTTTAAGTACATGGATTTAATTTTTTAAGAATTATCTATTCAAGTAGTTTAGAGAATTGTTCAGTACGGTAGCCCCTAGTCTCATGTAGCTATTGAATAAAGTTGAGCTACTTTGAATTGAAATGTGCCATAAATGTAAAATACACACTGAATTTTGAAATCTTATTATGTAAAAAAGAATGTAAAATATCTCTAATAATTTTTAAAATATTGGTTCCATGTTGAAATTATGTTTTAGGTATATTGGTTAAATATTGGTTAAATAGAATATATTAAAATTAATTTTACTTGTTTCCTTTTGTTTCTAATATGATTACTAGAAAATTTAAATTTGCGTATATGGTAAGCATTATACATCTATTTGACAGTGCTGATCTAGGCAGTAATCTAATCATTCGCTGATTAAGACCTGAATTTGAGGTATTATTTAAATAAAGGAAATTAAGGAGGAATTTTAAGAAATTATGCAGTATGTATATGTGTTATGTGTTACATAATCTTGGGTGTTTCATTACAGGATATTTTGCAGCTTTTTGTCTACATCATAGCTTTGTAATCAATAGTAAGCTTTTTGAGGACAAGGACTACTCAGTATTTTAAAATTCTCCTCTACATCTTGTATTTTGCTGGGTGCATAAGAGCTTGATTGAGCAAACAACAATTAATAGGACATCAAATAATTTTATAAATGCAGAGTTTGAGTTTTTATACTGCAAATCAATGATTCTTAGATTTCCTGTACCCTTTATTTTAGTATCATAATATCACCAGTGAACTAGAGCAGTCATCTTTTTTAAAAGGCACAAGGGTAAGGGAACTAACACCTTGTCTTATATATACAAAGCTGTGGGTAGTCATTTAGTCCTTATAGTAACCTATGAGGAAGATATCAACCATCATTTTACATAGTAGGAAACAGTAATTTCTCCAATGTTATGTTAACCAATCCAGATATGCCTGACTTCAAAACTCATATGTTTTGTGCTGTAGTTTACTCTCTCCATTGAAGTTAGCCAATTATTTTAAGTGATTTGAAATTAGTCTAGTATTGTGGTTGACATGAAATAATTGAAGGATGATCTTTAGAATGAAATGTGTAATGATGTATTTATTAAGTATTCTATGTTCAAATATGAAAGGAAATTTAGAAATACTTCCTAAAACCTTAGAGAAAGAAAGTGTTTGTTTCTCATTCCGATTTTCTTGATGTATTATAATTCTAGTAGTTGCACTGTAGTTCATGAACAAAAATGAAGTTGTAAAATAGTTTAAAATATTTCCTTTATTTTGTCTTTCAGATAAAATCAAGGACAAAATTAAAGAGAGAGATAAAGATAAGGAGAGAGAAAAAAAGAAGCATAAAGTAGTGAATGAGATCAAGAAAGAAAATGGAGAAGTAAAGATTTTACTGAAAAGTAAGTTTATATTTAGTGATTTTAGTTGTACTATATTATATTGTTCAGTATACTTACTGGCTTAGTGATTAAAGTAAGAAATGTTATTTGGTGCTGAATTTTGCTGAGAATAAACATTTATTGTCAGGATACAAAAAGTAAATAGTGGGATTTTCTAATCTGTATAGTAATGTGTCTTTAGTATATTTATTTAGTGACTTATTAAAAAGTAGTAAAGGTAATTATTCAGTATATAATTCTGTTTTTGCATTACCAGACTTTATCCATATTTAGATATTCTAAAATAAAAGGCTAAAGCAGTTTTTAGCATGATGCACCTGGTGGAGGAAGTGATCTTAAAAATACTTGATGATAATCACTATATCATAGTCTGGGATTTAGAGGTAGTGTTTAACTCTGAGCTAAATAAGGTGTACTGTTTTATCGTATGTTTCTTGCATGCTTAAGAATATCCTCTTTTTGCTTCCTGCGTTTTCTCTACTGTTATAGCTGTTTTTAGTTGTTGTTTATGCATAGAGTAGATAGTTAGGTAATAACACAAATTCTATCAATAAATCTGCACTTTTCCATAGAGAATTTGTGATAAAAGTAGGGACAGTTTCAAATTCACTCAGATAGTGAGGTGTGAAGAAAGTAGTCATTTGGTTGCTAGACAGCTAGCAGATTCGTTAGCTGCCCTATCAAGTTAACAGTTTTTGTATCAGAACACATTGACTTTGATTAGTTTTATATTGAGTTTATGTATTAATAAGCTTTTATATCTACGTAAGACAGAAAAGGCCATAGCACTTCTTGTGTAATGAAATAACTGGTTAATTCATATTATTTAAGGTAGAGTATTAGATATTTTCATTTCATTCTTTGTCATGTTTCCAGATGTACTTTGGTGGCACTTTATTTAAGCTTTATTTTCTGCTTATTGAAACTTTATTTTCTATAAAATTCTTTTGACCTTGAAGAAACATGTCAGATCTTAAGTTGATGGCTAATTAATGCTCATCGTTGTTTTGTTCTATTTCTTTTGCCAGTGTGCTTTATCTGTGTTGCCTAATTAGATTGTAAGCCTTTGAGGCAGGAATTGAATATAACCACACTAGCGCTGTGCAGCAGCAAATGATTTCATGCTTGAAATGTTTTCTTAACTTTGCCCTTTTGGTTTATTCACGTTGTCGTTTTTTATTGGTTTAGTCAGGTGGTCATTTTCTTATCTGTTTGAGTGTACACAGATGTAAATTCCTGTCACTTGGTTGAGAGTTAGACTCCTAACATACCATTAATGTGGAATATGTGAATCTAGAGATTACATATGTAAGAAAAAATTTAAATAGGCTAAAAAATGAGGATTTTCTAGGAATATGCAATAACAACCTTGACTTTGAAGCAAATGAAAAACTTAGGAAGTATTCTGAGCTGACCTAAACTGAAACCTAGTGATGATAGAGGGGAAAAAAGAGATAGATTTGGAAATGAATTGATGACCTCTGGGATCACCATAGGAAAATGTATTTTCTGCAAAATGGAGGTAAATAGTAACTTAATTACTGCCTTACAGGGTTGTAAAGATTAAATGAGTAAAGTATGGGGGAAGTGCCAAATACAGTGTCTGACCCACAGATTTAATAAGTGGATATGAAGCTTTCTTGTAAACATGTATGAAAGATTAACTTTTGTAATTCAAAAATTACAACAAAACTGTATCTCCACTCCTCAGTGGGTATGGAGAATTAAATGAATAAAAGCATGGTTAATTTGGGAAATAGTGCCTGTCTTATTGTAAGCACTGAGTAAATGCTAGCTCTCGATGTTATCCAGCAAGAACGATTTGTTCTGCTTGTGTGGCCATTTCCCAAGTGAGCCTATGATCAGGGAAAGGCATCCTTTGTTATTGGTGTCCTAACGTAATGAGAGAATCAATTTGGTAGGGGCAGTAGTATACTATTATTTATTACCCCTGTTTCCTTTATGGCTTTCAAGTTTTATTCTCTCCTTATAATTTTCTCCTTCTGATAATGCTAATGTTGCAAACTGGCACACAGTCATTGCTTGTTTAACAATGGCACTTGAATATCTAAAATAGGTGCTAACTCTTCACACAATCTCAGTTCTTCCAGGTTTTCATGAAAAACTGTGTCAAGTATATAACTAGAGGTATATACACGATTATATCCATGCTAGAAGGTTTTTACTGCACAAATCTTGTAGCTATTTTTCATTGATAAAATAGAAATTTGCTTTATTAGAAACAGTTTAAAGGAACAAATAACTTTGAAGCATAAGCTTGTTTAGCTCATCCTTTTATATCTAATGACTACCAACTAATTTTTCTGAGAATACTTACAAGTTCTAGTCATTTTTACGTCAATTATTGATAAGTTGTAAGAACACAGATGTTATAAATATAGTATTTTTGAGAGTAACTGTTATCATTGTAGCATATGAAAGAAGTTTGTGGTGAGCAGGTGGAAAGGGGTTTAAAAGAAGCCAGTGTTCAAGGTTATTGGTAGTGTACTAAAGGTCACAAGTAGGTAATTAATGGCAGAAAGAGTGAAAATATTGCTGTGTGAAAAAAGCAGAATTGTTCCACAAAGACCAAAGGTTGAAAATAGCTAAGCTAATTACTACCTTGTTTTATATTAGATATGAAATCAGATCCAATATTTCTGGGAAACTTTTATTTTTTCCTTTATTAACACTAAAAATATACTGAGGTTAATAGTGGAAATTAAATCCAGTGAATTTGTGATTTTTAAAGATTTTAAAAAATAATTTGCCATTAACAGCATATGTTGTTTTTGTATTTGTGTATGTGTTTTTTCCTTTCTCTGTGAGTGTTTCTTCTGGTTGTGTGTGTCTGCTTGTGTCTCTGTCTGATTCTGGCTTTCTGTGCATGCTTGTGTCTTCTGTATGTGTATATATCTGTCTGGCATCCACTGTTTGCATATGTCTGTGGATCTTTGGTGGGAAGGTCTCCCATCAACCTTACATTTTTATACTTTTTGAGGGTCTAAATTACTTGGAAAACAATTCTGTTCTTTCTGTATGGGTATTTACTATGATCCTTAAAAAAAAAAATTACAGCTCTGATACATTAGACTCTGTTAGAAGAATTATAGATTGAGAGTAATGTATACTTTAAATGCTCTGGTATAAAAGAAGAGCATTAATATTCAAAATGGTCTTTTTCCTTAAGTATTTAAAAATTCCCCACATTTATCTATTGCATTTCATACATCATTCCAGGACAGAAAACGAGTGAGAGGTTATAAAAAACTTAAAAAATCTATCGAGTGAAGACTAGTGTCTTGATTTAGTTTAAATGTAAAGAATGTATTTTACCTGTGTCCATTGGGGGTTCCCAAGACTGCCCCCAGATTGATGATTCACTAGGAGGCTTCACAGGATTCAGCATGTATTTGTACACATAGCTACGATTTATTATAGTGAGGGATACACAGTAAAATCAGTAAAAGGAAAAAGCTTATGTGGTGATATCTGGAGGAAGCCTGGCAAAGCTTCAAAGAGTCCTGTCCTAGTAGAGCCACACAGGATGCACTTAATTCTTCCAGCAGGGAATTGTGACAATATATGTGAAATATTGTCTACCAGGGAAGCTCATTAAAGACTTCATACTCAGGGTTTTTATTGGGGGTGGGTCACATAGGCACCCCTTTCTAACATATAACAAAATTCCAGACTCTTAGAAGGAAAAGAGGTGTTTAACGTAAACCATATTGTTTGCACAAGCAGTGGAAGTACAGTGAGTTACTCTTATCACAGAGTGGTAGCAACCTTCTCAAAATATGAGTTCTCTGATGCCAGCCTTGCAAGCAGGGCTTTCTAAGGATAACCATTTCAGGGATGTTAACTCTTTTCTGCACAGTGCTTACTTTAGTACTTAATTACAGAGTAGTTTGTCATGGGAGTTTAATTCCTTGATGCTCAATATAAGATGTTTAAAGGGCCTAGGTATAATTAATAACTAAACTGGAAATACATGTAAAATTGTACAAATAAATGGTTTGTTAAAATAAGCAGAATTTTATTTGAATGAAAATGTAAGCTTAATATCCTACCACATTCATGCTTAACACATCAAAAAGTTAAAATATAAAATATCCAGTCATTAGAATACATGTGACTTTAAAATAAAATAGGTACAACAGTCTATTTATTAGTCATAAGGATGGATGAAAATAGTAGTAGTATAATAGAAACGGAAAAATGCAAATGACTAAGAAATCTGTCAAGGGATTCTTAGTCCTAAAGGACATGTTATACAGATACCCTTCTGTTTTTCTTATTGTATAGAAATGAATATACTGTTATAATGTTACACACACACACACACACACACACACACACTCATATTCTATAGCTGTGCAGCCTCTGTGAATTAATCTTCTGTGCTTTGGAGTTCTCAATTTCTGAGCCCAGAGTCTTCTCTTTAGTTGCAGAAGCGCATTAATATATAAGCTTATTACACCTCATGTCTTTTTTTTTATTCCTCTCTTTACATATACATGAGTATCATTTGTGCTTAGGCATAAGGAATGATTCTCACTTTGAAATCCCATATGGTAACTTCTTGGGTCTTCACTGGAAGCTTTGCAGACTCTAGTAGACCTAAAAGCCCATTTTAGATGAAAGAATAGTTTACCAAGGAGGAAATACGGTAAAAAGCTAAGAAATTGCTGTTTGTTGCCGTTAACACTGTGTAAGTATTTTTCTTCTTTTATAATTTATACACTTTGACACCTGTATGTGAGTTTTAAGAACTTAAAGGAAAAATGATATGTATAAATAAGAAACATCTGCAGGGCATTGTTCATACTGACCTTTGCTCAACTCTCTATGTCTGATTTTCTACATTTAAAATGTAAAGATTTTGCTTTGTGAAACATTCATTTTATTACTTCAGTAAATACTGATCGAGCATCTTCTACATGTCCGAATGGTACCATGCACTGTAAGGCGTACCTTAGTCTTAAGCCTCTGTGTGTGTGTGTGTGTGTGTGCATGTCTGAGTGTGCAGAGACAGAGAAAGACTGACTAAATTATGATTATCATTACTGTGTAAAACAAGTTCCAAATATAAACCTCATTCTGAGTAAACTCCACTTTTTTTTATTATAAAACAGTTCCTAAAGCATAGGTTTTAAAGAAACTAAACTATGGAGTTTCAAAAAAATTTTTTTCCCAACAGGTGGGAAGGAAAAACCAAAAACAAATGTTGAAGATTTACAAATTAAGAAGGTAAAGAAGAAAAAGAAAAAGAAACACAAAGAGAATGAAAAACGGAAGCGTCCAAAAATGTATAGCAAATCTATTCAAACCATCTGCTCAGGATTGCTGTCTGATGTTGAAGATCAAGAAGCCAAAGGCATCCTAAATGATAACATAAAGGATTACAGTGGGAAAAATTTGGATACCAAGAACTATGATTCCAAAATTCCAGAGAACAGTGAGTTTCCATTTGTCTCTTTAAAGGAGCCACGGGTTCAGAACAACCTCAAAAGGTTGGACACTTTGGAGTTCAAACAGCTCATTCATATTGAGCACCAGCCTAATGGAGGTGCATCAGTTATCCACGCCTACAGCAGTGAAATCTCCCACCTGTCTCCTGTGGAGATGGAGAGGTTTGCAGAAGAGTTTGTGGGTCTAGTGTTCAGTGAAAACGAAAACTCTGCAGCTTTCTATGTAATGGGTATTGTTCATGGGGCAGCTACTTATTTACCTGACTTTTTAGACTACTTTTCATTTAATTTTCCCAATTCACCAGTGAAAATGGAGATATTGGGAAAGAAGGATATAGAGACAACAACTATGTCCAATTTTCATGCTCAGGTAAGAGTTTTTTAGTTTTAGTTTTTTTTTGAACTTTTAATTACATGTTTTAGACAAATTTCTATCCTTTGTTTCTCATTTTGCTATAGGTTTGAAATAAAAAGGTAAGGATATAATGAAACCTCTTGGGAATATTAAGAATCAGTTACTTTCTTGATGTGAACACCAGAATTTAAATGTTAGTTTCTACTTACTAGTTTTTTCTTAAAGATACTTAATGAAGTAATTAAGATTCTGTTGTCCTTTGTATCTTAGATTTATCTTGGAAATGAAATGAATGAAATGAGTCTAACCATGTATTTTTCCAGTTCATGCAATAATTCTCTTACATGAAAATCACTTTAAATTGTCCTCTTGCTTTATGCAGTAGTGCCTCTAAAGTGCTTAGCATTGGATTCGCCACATAGTATGATGCTGAATAAATGTTGGCTATTAAATATATCGTGGTGCAAAGGAGTCATCTGTTAAATGTGTGATTGTGTGAGAAAATTAGTATTAATCAGTGCAAATGTGGAGCTGATTTGTATTTCCTACCCTTCTCTATGGTGTAGAATATACATTATTTTTGAAAGCAGAGGCAGAATTGAGTTTGCTGGCTCTTAGAAGTAAATGTGGGCCCATCTGATAGGCTGGTACATTCTCACCCACTCTCAGATCAGAGTCTACCTAAGCTGAAAGATCAGCCAGGTTTCACCTTTTTTGATGCTAAAGTTTCTGGTATTCTAAATAATAATTGGCATTATTCAAACTTGGAAAGAGGAAAAAAGTAAAGAAAATTTCAAAAGGGTCTTAGGGATTGTCTGTCCCAACCTTTCTCAACTTAAGCAAATGAACATAGATAGGAGTAACTTACTGTTCTAAAGTTGTAGCAGGGCTGGGATTAGAACAAAATCTCTTTACTCTTCATCCAGGACTCTTGTCTCTATTCTGAGCATATTTTTTTTTTTTATGTGTTCAAGTTACAGTCTCCACCTTAAATGATAACTTGGATGTCCAGTCACATTCACACACATATACCAACCCTCCATCCCCACACACAGTATATTTGGTGTATATTCTGTAATACACTGTTGTCTGGAAAATATGCTAGAATTTAAAGTTTTAACGTGTGTGTGGTGGGGGGTACTTTTTTCCTAATGCAACATGTTTGAGAATTGGAATTTAAGTATTTTTTAGAGCTGAAAGGGAGCTATAGGGCATCTGTTACCAGCCCTGTGATTTTATAGAGTTTCAGCATGGTTAGTAACTTGTCTAAGATTACACCTGAGTTTAGTGGTAGAACCAGACTGGCATCTAGTACTGGTGTCTATTATTTATTAAGTACAGACTCTGCCAAGAACTGTTCTAAGCAGTTAATAGGTAATAACTCATTTAATCTTTATTACAACTTAATTTTAGCAATGAGGAAACAGACACAGTGAGAGAAAAAAATCACTTGCCCATAGTCCTTCGCTACTGGGTCATTCCTTTGTCATTTATTACATGTCTGCTAAGTGCTAGGGTATATGATAGGCCTCTTGACTTCCAATGTCATTTCTTTCCACTCTGTCATAAATTTTCTTGCTGCCATACTATGCATCTTGTTTCAGTAATCTTTTAAATGTCACAATACTTAACATTTGCTTTTCAAATAGCTTTTAAGGTTAGGAATTATTAATTTTTTATTAAATGATGTTATTTTCATCTTCACTATGTAATGTGTATCACATGAAACCCATGCTTTTGTTATTAAATAAAAGAAGGTGCTGAGTCTTGTTAATCGTGACAGTGTGTAACTAGGCTGTGGGCCTCAAGTCCTTGAAGAGCTACCTACTCTGATTGCCATTACCTGTTAAAGTTCTTGGATAAAACATAGTGCACGAAGGAAAACTCTAGGCAGATGCATCTTTTACAAGCTGTGGCTCTGGCCCCATACTTGTGTAATCTCTCAGCTACAAGGACTGCCTCTTCAGCTTTAGACTTAATGACAGGAAGTTGCCTATGCAAGGTTCATGTGCCCTTATCCTAATATCCTCCAGATCCAGTCATTCCTGTGGTGTGGGGAGGAGTATCTAGTGAAAGCTTCCCTGAACTGCTCATTTGATTTTTTTCCCCAAACTGGATTCTTACTTGGCTTGGTTTTTTTAAGAGCTTAGGAGACTGAGGAAATTGGTTTCTGCAGACTGGGAGGTAGCCTTGGGTTTGTCCTTATGAACTGGCTTTATTAAACTGAATGTATCCAAAAAAGAGCAGTAGAAGAAAAGTGTGCCTACTTATTATAGCTTAGTTTTATTTGTAACTTCTTAACTCTTCCTAGTAAAAGATCTCTCTTAACCTAATTTGTGGTACCCTTCCAGAAAATTATTTTTTTAACCATTTATAGATTTTTTTTTAATTTGGGAAAATATTTTATAAAACAGATACTGATTTAACAAACTCTGTGTTTAGAGCTAAACCAGTGTATAACTTGAGGCTTTTCTTATCCTAAGTGTGAGAACCTTTATTCCAAATTTAATTTGTAGAAATACTTTATAGTCAATATAGCGACTAGGTTTGTGTGGGTAGCTGGATAAAACTCTGATATGGCATGATTGGAAAGGAAAGGTGTCTAGTCTTGGTTCTGCCATTTACCAGCTGTGATGCTGGATGGCTACTTAAGCTTTTTACATCTCAATTTCCTCACATACAGAACAGTAATAATAGTACTTAGTTCACAGGATTGTTGTTAGAAATGTTTCGTGAAATGTAAAAGATTATGCAAAGAGAGTTGTTATACTGACTTAGTGCAGTGTTAAAACCGCTTGCCATTTTGTGACTTCTGAGTGAAAACTCTGAAGAGTATATTAATTGATGTCAGGGAGTTTAGTGAGTACTGAAGATCAAAAATTACCACAAAGACTTTATCTACAGATAAGGAGTTGACTGAATTATGCTATATATACACAATGGAATATTATTGTGTAAAAAGGAATGGAATACTTAGATATGCTAGAGTGTGGATGAACCTTGAAACATTATGCTAAGTGAAAGAAGCTAGTCAAAAGGTCACATTATGTATGATTCCATTTTATATGAAGTATCCAGAATAGGTAAATCCATAGAAACAGACACAGATTGGTGGTTGCCAGGGGCTGACTGGGGGAAGGGGGAAATGGGAGTAACTGCTTAATTAGTATGGGGCTGGCTTTTTCTCCCCTCCCCTCCCCTCCTCCTCCCCTCCCCCTTCCCTCCCCCTTCCCTCCCCTCCCCCTTCCCTCTCTCCCCCTCCCTTATTTTTAATTAAGATAGATGTTGTTAACATTGTGTTAGTTTTAGTGTACAACATATCAGTGTATGTAATACTGTGAAATGATGACCACAGTAAGTTTAGTTAACATTCATCACTACATATAGTTGCAGTTTTTTCGCTTTTAATGAGGACTTTTAAGCCCTACTCTCTTAGCGACTTTCATATACACAGTATAGTATTAGCTATAGACACCATGCTGTACATTATATCCCATGACTTATTTGTTTGATAACTGGAAGTTTTCACCTTTTGACCCCCTTCACCCATTCCATCTACCTCCTTCCACACCACCACCCCAACTCTGGCAAGCACCAATCTCTATGAGTTCCATTTTTGTTTTTAGATTACATGTATAAGTGAGATCATATGATATTTGTCTTTTTTTTTACTTATTTCACTTAGTATAACGTCCTCAGGGTCCATCCATGCTGTTGCAAATGGCAGGATTTCTTTTTTATGGCTGAATGATATTTCATTGAATGGAATGATACCCATTCTTCCATTAATGGACACTTCAGTTGTTTTTATATCTTGGCTATTGTAGGTAGTGCTATAATGAACATGGGAGTGCATTTTTTTTTTCGAGATGGTGAATTTGTTTTCTTTGAATAAATAATCAGAAGTGGAATTGTTGGATTTTTGTTTTTTAATTTTTAAATATTACAAAAATAAAGTCTTAAAACTTTTTTAAAAATACTTTATCAAGATATAATATGTACACAGAATGCACACATTATTAATGTATAGCTTGATGAATCTTTATAAAATTAACTTTCCCATGATTTAAAAAAGAATTTTGCTAGTCACCAGAGCCCTCCCCAAACCCCTCTTTATCGCTACTCTGCCCTGCCCTGCCATCACATACATACACAAACAGCCAGGTAACACTCACTCTCCTGACTTCAAATGCCATGGATAAATTTTGCCTGTTTTTGAAATTCCACATAATAGAATCGAATAGTATGTACACTGTTGTTTGTGGCTTCTTTCCTTCAGCATTATGCTTGAGAGATTCATTCATCTTGTTTGTAGCAATAGTTTATTTTCTCATTGCTGTATGGTATTGCATTGTATGAAAATACCACAGTTTATTTATTCTGTTTACTGTGGATGGACATTTAAGTTGTTTCTGATTTGGGGCTGTTACAACAGGGTTGCTATGAAAATATATGTACATTTGTTTTGATGAGCATTCATTAGTCTTTTTATTTTCTCTCAATAGTATTTTTTTGGATTTCAGCCTACAGATATTGCACATCTTATGTGGGATTTATTCCTAGGTATTTGAGGACTTCATTTTGCTAATCACTCTTTTTGAGTGATTACTTGGAACTCTGAGTACCTCTTAGAGTATGACATTAGCACACATCATTGAGAAATTGAAAATATATTTTGTACCTCATTTCTCCCTTCCCCTTTATGGCATCATACATGCTTGTTAGTAGACTCATACAGTGAAGCTGTATATTTTGGTGAGAATAGAATCAGTACCACTATCAGGGCTGCTGTATGTGATGGCTTAAATTGTCACTGCGGCCGTTCACAGTGTTGTAAATGACAGCCCCCAGATTATGTAACCTGTGGCTCTGACTACTAGTGACTTGTGGGATCCAAACCAAGTTTATGCTGAGTTTGTGCATCCTCATGAGACTAGTTTTATTATTTTTCTAAAATGAATCAGAGCAATCAAAATAATTTGCCCTAAATTCTGTAGAAACTAAAAGATGACAGT